TGTATACACAACAGTGTTGGCATTTTTTGGTACAATTGTACTTGTTTGATACAATTTCATTTACAATATACTTTCCTACTACGCAGTACTTTTTAATACAATTTTGTAATGAATACTAAAAATATATAGCTCTGAAAATTCACAGCAAGAAATTTTTCGTATTCTCTTTTGTTCGTATTTACCTTTGTAAGTTTTGAAAAATGGCTTGAACGAACCAGTATAATACAGCCTAGGCAAATTTTTAAAGAAACTTGTCGATACTAAGTTTTATTAAAACAAAATGTCGAAGTCAACTTCATATAGAAAGAAAGTCTTCGTTAGTTATAAGAAGAGATTTTCTTAAATATAATACCTGTACGGCACTCACATATTGACAAGATTTACTATTTATTTTATTATTCTTTAATTTTAACTATCTGTTTATAAAATATAATGTATTCTTTAAGAAAAACTGTATAAACCCAAGATTAAATCTATGCGAAACATCCAAAAACCAACATACTTTCGTAAAAATTTCAGTTCAAAACCGAAATAATGCATATGGCAAAAACCGAAATAAAGCATACATGCACAGTTTCGGATGAAAACCGAAATAATGCATATGTGAAAGACGAAGGTATGCATACATGCACAGTTTCGGTTGAAAACCGAAATAATGCATATAACAAAAACCGAAATAATACATGCATGCACAGTTTCGGTTGAAAACCGAAATAATGCATATGAAAAACCCGAAGTAATGCATACATGCACAGTTTCGGTTGAAAACCGAAATAATGCATATGAGAAAATACCGAAATTATGCATATGCATACTTTCGTTTTAAAAGCGAAATAATGCATATAAAAAAAAAACGAAGTAATGCATACATGCACAGTTTCGGTTTAAAACCGAAATAATGCATATGGTAAAAACCGAAATAAAGCATACATGCACAGTTTCGGATGAAACCGAAATAATGTCTAAATGCACAGTTTCCATATGCGCAATTTCGGTGCCCCAAGGGAATGTACTAAGAAAATATATGAGCGTATTAAAAAGTGTATACAATTTATAGCCGAAAAGTACATTTTTTGTATAGATTTCGTACTGAAGGAACGATTTCATTTCCCAACACTGATACAGAATGTAAAGAAACACAGGGTTGCAAGGAAAAAAAGTTGAACGAGCTCAAAGTTGGCTGGCGACCAACTTTGTTGAAAGCGATTAGTTGAAAGGCCGTTCGGACGAGGCGATTTTTGCTTTCAGCTAAAAGTTGCCTGAAAAATCGCCTCGTGCGAAAGGCCTATTATGTAATTTTTATTTTCATTGCATGATTATGCAAAATAATAAGATATCATTTTCTTGTTAGTTGTGTGAAATAGCCAGAACAACCGCAGTGATGTGAAGTCGAAGTTTATCGAAAGCATGCTGTGAAACATACAAATAGTAGATATCTAAATGTTATGCACAAATTTACTTTAAGGGCCGTTTGCACCACGTCTAGTTAACGCTAACTGGAGGTACATCCTTCAGTTAAGCACGTTAACTGCTTTATCGATCACATGTTATATGATGGGTGTCGATAACGTCGATAAAGATGTTTAACTGGGAGTTAGAATTAACTAGACATGGTGCAAACGGCCCTAAAAGAACTAGCGCGAAACTGACTTATTATTTGAGAATTTATCTAAATTATTCCAATTATAAAATTGTGATGTAGCTTAATTCGAATTGTAATACGCATTTAATTTCATCTTCCGATTAAAATGGTTCGATCTTTGTAAATTTTAATTGGAGATTATTCAATATTATCAAATTCACCCTCTACCAACTTAATTTTTACATATTTCGTCTGTTTTCCCTTAATTTGATAAAATACTCCTTCCTTGTTACGACTTAGTTGCAGCTGCAGCCGAAACTAAATTTTAAGTTGGTACTTAGCCAGAAAAGTCGAAACTAAGGCGACTATGAATAGCTTTAGTTGTGACTTAGGGCCGGTTACTCAATATCTGGTTAACACTAATCTGCGGTTAAACATCGTTATCGACGTCTTCGACTCCATGCATACAACAGGGAGTCGGTAACGTCGAAAACGATGTTTAACCGGAGATTAGTGTTAACCAGACATTGAGTACCCGGCCCTTAGAATAGTTTCGACTTAGTTGAGTACTAAATATGACTATGAATATGCGCCAATGTCATTTTTCAGTAAAATGATAATAATTATTGATTGTATGTTCAAAAGTTCTTCTGCTTCTTTTCTTCGCAATACAGAAAGATAATTCTACTTTGTGAGGGTTATAATCCCTAAGCGCGGCCGCAGGCCGCCTACGCGGAAAGAAATTCTGCTCAAAAATTCTTCCGCTAATTTTCTTCGCAACACAGAAAGAGAATTCTACATTATGAGGGCTATAATCCCTAATCGCGGCCGAAGGAGTTTTGCGTCAAAAATACTACGATGTCCGAAGATGTTTTATACACTTGGCAAGACAGCAAAGAAATGAGAATTCGGTTATGGTGCAGTTCATGATCCCCACCGAAACTTGATGCAAAATGAACGAAAGGGGTATCAAACGACGCGTACTACTACCAGTATTAAGAATCCGAGGGCAGAAACTTTTTTTTACACCGTTCAAAAGTTATTTGCAAAAAACTGTTTCATTTAGCACAGCTTTGTTAGTACTGAAATCACTTTAACAAATGCACGAAATGAGTACATATTCATATCTCGATGTTCAGCATAGTTTATTTTACCCGAATTCGTAACAAAAAACCACGAAACTTAATTATTTAATGATGTATTATACTGAAAACAACGAATGTAAACCCGGCATATTCTTTTTATTCCGTTAGTTGTAATAAAAACATGGAGGTGCTTGGTATTGCCAGTTCATTAATAACAAAAATGTTTTATTTTATCAGTAACCATAATAGACATCACTGGGGCGGTAGCCCCAGGTTTACCACACATAAAGGGAACTCTAGTTACCTCATGCTTTCCCAAGGCTACATCACTGGGGCGGTAGCCCCAGCTGGTGCATGATCCAACTACACAAGATCTGACAAGATGGAGCAAAAGAAAAAAGTAATTTTTGGCTGACGTTTGTAATTTCGGCGCCATGTTATTTTCTGTGAAAAGTAAACAAAGAATATGAAGACGAAGCATAAAGAAAAACTGCAAGCAATGTTGTGCACATGTTTGTGCTAACCAATTTATTATTTATGTACGTGTTTTTGCATTCAATCACCGCGCACTTCATTTTAATTACATTTGCACAAAAATTCACTTAAAAATCACTGAAATAAACCACCGACAAAATACACATACAAAAGAAGCAAAACAGAAATAGCAAACTTCAAAATTACGAACGTCACACACTTTGTTCTTAATTGCTATTACAAATGGCTGCTTCTCAACCGGTCAGATCTGTTCTAATAGGTTCATGAGTTGGTGCACACCAAAAGGAGAATTCTATTTGGTAAGGATTATAATCCTAAAGCGCCTACGCAGAAATGAATTCTACGCAAAAATACTGTGGACGCAAGTAAAAATAGACATACGCATATCAAACGAAAGGGAAATCAATTTTCTTTATACCAAAAAAACGACAACACTATCCTAATAAGGCTAGTTTTGAAAAAAAAGCAGTTTAAATGGAATTTTTTCATATATTTAAAAAAAAATATTTTATCAGAAATTAGAAATGCAAGGCACAAGGGATGTAGACCAAAAGAAAGGTGTATTAATTTGCTCTAAAACTATATATTAACTTTTACAAACGCTTTACTAGTTTTTTAGATATTATGGTTTTTTAAAAAGCAAATTTCGATCTTTGACCTTGCATATCTCGCTTAATTTTAATTTGTGCAAGTAAATTTTAGTACCGTTATAATCAGCTCAAATAGCTCTATCGGCTCGAATTTTTAGTTTTTTTTCAAGCGAAACGGTGGGCATTCTTTTCTTGTTCCGAATTACATAACGATTTGTGAAGGGGGGCATTCTTATATACCGAAAATATAAACGCAATCTAAATTTAATTGCATTTCTTTATTTGTAAAATACTTAAAATCTTTTACATTTATTGTAATTGGCATCTCTAAATTAAACCTTTTCTAATAGTAATATATTGGCAACACCAAGCACTTCCATGTTTTTATTGAAGCTAGCGGAATAAAAAGGAGACGCCGGGTTTACATTCGTTGTTTTCAGTATAATACATCATTAAATCATTAAGTTTCGTGGTTTTTTGTTACAAATTCGGGTAAAATAAACTATGCTGAACATCGAGATATTAATATTTGTTCATTTCGTGCATTTATTAATGTGATCTCAGACTATGTTCAAACAGGCCAATTAGCTGAGGCAATTCAGCTTTAAATTGCTGAATTGAGTTTGGTGTTCACACATACGTCTGCTGCGCAATTAGCGATACGAAATCAGCTGCTGGATTACCTACAGTGATGGAAAAGTAGGTACAATCGTACCTTTATTTAGTTTGCAAGTGCATTCGGTACAAACACACAATTTTAGGTACATTTGCAACGTAGCCAAATAACTTCTCGGGAAATCCGTTCTTAATTTTATTGACATTTCAATGCATTTTCTTTTGCGCGGAAACTGGTCCAATACCTTCCCTCCTTTGTGCAGGGGCATACAAATGATACAAAAACTTGGTCAAAGTAACGCAACTTTAGTTGATTTGGCCAGGTAGACGGAAAATATTTATTTTTAAACGTCAGATCGGAGAACTGGGTGGAAAGTAATTCACCTTTTCTACAACATAGTTTTGTCTCGCGCTGCTCCAAGAGATTCTTTTCATAGCCAAAATTTGTTTGATGTGAGTACAGAAGTTGATGTGGTATCGATGGGATTTGTTATCCTCCTATCTTCTTTATATAGAAATACATACTTACTTTTTAGGGACAGAAAAAAAAACAGGTGATTGCTCTTTGTTCAATAAACATACCTCCAAGTCAAAATTAAACACACCTAGCAGGGTTGCATAGGGAATCTGACACAAATTAAGTGCCAATTAATAATTAATTGGCAGTTAATAATTTGAATTTTTGTATAATAAATTGGGTAACAACTAAGGCTTAAATTGGTGAAAAGGTTCTTAATTTCCAATTAGGTGCCTGTTTGAACATAGTCTCAGTACTAACAAAGTTGTGTTAAATGTAACAGTTTTTTGCAAATAACTTTTGAGCGACTCAGAAAACTGTGCAGATAAATACATATGATTTATGTAATAATTTTAGTTGCCAGGGAAGGATGAAAAAAAAGATCTTAGTGAGTATTCCTCTGTGCTTTGTATTTCTTCAGTGGCACCTACTTCAGTATTGTATATTAGCATTGCTTGGCCACTTGGAGGCAATTGCGAAGATAGAATAGGAGACGGAGTATGTGGGTAGTTAGGTGTTATATATTCACTCTGCAGAGACATTCCAAAATTGGAGTCTGGTGAAGGTGTTGGCGGTGGTACATAAATAGGTGCCGGTCTTCGGACTCGAATAGCTTTAATATCCGGTTGCGGTGATGATTCAGAGAAACGTGGTAATGCTGGTAATTGATTATACATTGTGGGTTCTTGTGTCGGAGCTGATGAAACATCCGTGTTGGAAGCGTCTGGATATACAATTATATTTACAGAGTCACGTCTCAAGTTACCCAGTTCTGCTTCAAATAAAATATCATTAATTCCTTTTTCAGCTAGCATACGCTGCGTTCGATTAAGATGCTCTAATTTTTCACTCCAGTATAATGCCGTTGCGTTTATGTTTGTAGAACTTTGGGGTGCAGACAATAGGGAACATGCCTTTTCAATTAGCTCGTTTTGTTTACCCACTGCACTTTTTTTTTTGTTTTTCCGAGGAGGAGCCAACTCGCTAATAGATGAAAAGGAAGTGTTAGATAAGTCCTCTCTATTTGTCTGCTCCTGAACTTGCACCAATTCTTCCACATTTTGCGATTCTTCATTGTTCTGAAAGAAAGAAAATTATTGTTAATTAATAAAATTGATTTTAAACTTCTGGATTCTAGGCTAATTGACCTAATATGGTTGAGTGCAAGAAAAAGCTTTCTTCACATTACAGCCCGACGTTTCGCTAACTTTCTTAGCTTCCTCAGGGGCGATTTCTTTATTAAAGCCTGCAAATCAAACTGCACATTGTCATCAATATTTACAAAGACAAAAACACCAGTAGAGCCACACCAAAAACACAACGTAGTGTACGAAATAGCATGCAAGGGAAGTGAAAACGAAGTTTGCAATAGAATCTACATCGGAACGACGAAAAGGGCGTTAGGAGTTCGCGTAAGGGAGCACAACGCGGACATCCGAAAGAACAAAAACAACACTGCGTTAGCGCAGCACATATTGACAAGTGGACACTCAGCTGATCTAGGCAAAGTAAAGATATTAGATAAAGAAAAAAGAGAGAAAACCAGATTAACGCTAGAAATCCTGCGAATTTTACAAAACAGAGATAAAACTTTGAACAAAAAAGAAGACACATACGATATTGCGGCGGCGTACCAATTATGTTTGTAACAGGCAATCAGTATGACGAGTGTACCATACCAGGATGGTATCAAAGCAACTAGCTCTTAAGTCTAGTGTGACCAGATATATGTATCGTGATAATAGTTAATAAGTGTTCATGTACATGTATGTAAACTTCGAATTTGTCAAATCTTGTGCTTTTGATTATAGTTTGTGAAATGTTACCATATAATGTCAATGTTTTAATACGTTTTGTTTATTTTAATTTTTCTTGTTTCTTTTGTTGATGTTTTTAATAAAGAAATCGCCCCTGAGGAAGCTAAGAATGTTAGCGAAACGTCGGACTGTATTCTGAAGAAAGCTTTTTCTTGCACTTAACCATATTGTCAATTAGCCTAGAATCCAGAAGTTTAAATAACCAAAATTGACCATCAACTCAGAATCAAAAATGATTTTAATTCTTTACATTTATGCCCGGTTGCACCAATCAATTTTAAAATTATCAGCCTGTTAAAATTTAGAATGACACAATGTAGTTCGGAAAATTTGTAATTTTAAAATTTAACAGTCTGATAAATTTTAAAATTGATTGGTGAAACTGAAAGTAAATTTTATATTTTATTCATCAAATGGATTTCAAATTTCTTTTTTTAGATGCCTAGTACAGCAGAAGAGTGGAGAAGTGTTTCTGATGAATTTTGTGTGTTACATAATTTTTATAACTGCATCGGCGCAGTTGACGGGAAACACGTAAAAATAAAGCGTCCAAATGGTTCGGGAGCGCTATATTATAACTATAAAGGAACATACAGTATTGTTCTTATGGCTATTGCAAATTTTAAAAAGGAATTTATCTTGGTTGATATTGGATGCAATGGACGCGTGTCTGATGGTGGTGTCTTTTTTTACACTAAATTCTGGGAGCGTTTGCAACAAAATCATTTAAATATACCGGAATCAACACCATTGCCAAACACCTCGGAATCATTCCCCTATGTTTTTATAGGAGACGAAGCTTTCGCGCTAGGCCCTAACTTTATGAAGCCTTAGGCTTTCTGCACATTGGTGGTCCAATCATAGTTGCTTCATCGTCATAATCATGATGCAACGATTACATGACGACTACACTTTCGCACACTCGGTCGTGTTATTTCAAATCATTTGGCGTATAAAAATTCGCTTAGAGCAGGTATTTTCTGTTTTTCTGGTTGATATTTTCGCGAAATATTTACAAAAACCTGCAATTTCTAAAATATAGACTGTGCTATCTCTTCTTTTCTTTTCCTGAAATGTGTTTTGTGCATGCACACAGAGACTTTTTACAATTTCGTCATATTTTATAGTTAAAACGTTCACATTTATTGAATTTTAATGCAATTATCCACTTTTTAATAATTTCCACAGATTTTATGCAAAAAATACTTATTTTTATGCAATTTTAATGCAAATATTAACTTTTTCACTAATTTGTCCACATAAAATGTAAACAAACAATGCGTGCACAACGATTAGCAAGCGACAGTGCCGTACTTATCCGTTTCTGCATCTTCTACGATTTGCCGATAACTAGCCGATAACGACAAGTGTATAGATCTCCCTTTAAATGCATGTGCTCGGCTCAAAATTTCAGGACGAGACGATAATAGGGCTTTCGCACGAGGCGATTTTTCAGGCAACTTTTAGTTGAAAGCAAAAATCGCCTCGTCCGAACAGCCTTTTAACTAATCGCTTTCAACAAAGTTGGTCGCCAGCCAACTTTGAGCTCGTTCAACTTTTTTTCCTTGCAACCCTGTGTTTTTTTACATTCTGTATCAGTGTTGGGAAATTAAATTGTGCCTTCAGTACGAAATCTATACAAAAAATGTACTTTTCGGGTATAAATTGTATACACTTTTTAATTCGCTCATATATTTTCTTAGTACATTCCCTTCAAGACCAATGAACTTATGGTATTCATGAGAAAGTTTTATTGTTTATGTACATACGTTTACGTAGTTTACACTTTTACAAATTGATTCCACGTGCACATGTACTGCATTTAACGCAAATATGTATGCACACATTTTCAGGTATACATCTTAACAAAAAGCATATTTAAGTTATTATTAATGGATAAAAGAGACATTTTCCTTTGGATTCACTACTAAAATTTGACATTTTAATAGCATTTCAAGTGCTTATCAAAACTTTACGACAAGATTTGACCATTTATCTTAATAGTATTCAATTTTAATTATTTTTTGTAAAAATACGGTTTATATTTTAAGAAAAGCTGTGCAAATTCAAGGTTCAAACTTTGTGCAACATTAAAAAAAAACCAACACACTTTCGTAAAAATTTCGAGCTTTTTAATTCGATTTTCTAGATTTATTTTGAGCGTGCGGTTTATTAGCCCATTAAATTTTAATATAACTAAGTTTTTTAAGATTTCTTTGATGAAGGTGTTGCTAGTTTTCTCCATATAAAAAAATCTTCGGACACACTTCGTATGGAAGAAAATGGCTGACATCGTCGACAAAAAAAATTCCAAGTTCAACGGTAAGTCCCAGCTACTTTAAACTTGAACTTTATTATACTAAAATTGAATGGGCTAAAAACTAAAGAATATTAATAAAGCTCGAAATTTTTACGAAAGTATGTTGGTTTTTGGATGTTTCGCAAAGATTTAATCTTAGGTTTGTACAGTTTTTCTTAAAGAATACATTATATTTTATAAACAGATAATTAAAATTAAAGAATAATAAAATAAATAGTAAAATCTTGTCAATAAAGGTATTATATTTACGAAAATCTCTTCTTATAACTAACGAAGACTTTGTTTCTATATGAAGCTGACTTCGACATTTTGTTTTAATAAAACTTAGTATCGAAAAGTTTCTTTAAAAATTTGACTAGGCTATATTATACTGGCTCGTTGAAGCCATTTTTCAAAACTTACAAAGGTAAATACGAGCAGGCGAACCAAAGAGAATACAAAAAATTTCTTGCTGTGAATTTTCAGAGCTATATATTTTTAGTATTCATTACAAAATTTACTAAAAAGTACTGCGTAGTAGGAAAGTATATTGTAAATGAAATTGTATAAAACAAGTACAATTGTACCAAAAATGCCAACACTGTTCTGTATCATACTTTTTTTTCTTTTTTACTTTTTTACTCTTATTTTATCTTTCAGCTTCGCTAAAAGCACTTCTACCAACGCTTGGCTTACCAAATTTATGCCAATTGATCAAATTTTGCGATTTAAATTCATATTCAATAATGTAAATAACGATTCGTGTTGAATCGAAAATCGCCTCGTCTGAATAGGGATGGCAACTTTTTCACTTTCAACTTCTCATTCAACTTCGTATTCAACTTTTGTTGCCTGTAAAATCGCCTCGTGCGAATGCCCTATAACGCAACTATGATTGGACGACAAGTGTGCAGATAGCCTTATCCTCAAAAAAGAGTAACACGGCGTTTCCACGCTTCGTAATTCGCTCTATCATTCGTAATTCGCTCTCCCTTCGTCATTCGCCTTGCCAATTACTTTCCGAATTATGTAATTCGCCATACAAAATTTTGAGAGCGAATTACCTCATTTGTATGTAATTCATATCGAATTACCATGCGATTGGCGAACGAATCGGTGCCTTCTCTAATATTTATCGGAAATATATCGAAGTTTTCACCGGCCTGGTCCCATTTGCAGGCACTTTTTCTAGTTATAGAATAATATTAATGAAATATTCTCTAAATAAATTAAAATTGTTGATGATAACTAAAATTGTAGCTCCGTCTTCGATATTTGCAGTACACAAAAATAATAATAAATAGCGAAGAACAAGAACAAGAACTAGAGCTGCCAAACGAATTACTAATGTGTGGCGTGGAAACAGGGTAATTCACGAATTACTTAGCGAATTACTTAGAGAGCGAATTACGAAGCGCTGAAACATCGTATAACACAAGAAGAGCAATTGTTTAATAAACGGTTATCGAAGGCTAGATGTGTCATTGAGTGTGCGTGTGGTATCCTCGCCAATAAATTTGGAGTTTTCCAGAAATCCCATAAGTCTCTGCCCGCAGAAAGCTGCAAAAGTAACAGCAGCTTGTTATCTACACAATTATTTAATGAGAAAAGAGTCGAATTATCAGGCACCAAATCCCAATGAGTATAATTTTGAATTAACCACCATACAAGGCAGTTCGGGGCGAAATTCAACAAGATGTGCCAAAACTATAAGAGACAAATTTTGCAAACATTACAATGACGAATATAGATGCTAACTTTTGCTACTCAATATTTATCACTTATGTATATGAAAAAAAAGAACAATAAAAGTTTTCACTTAGCACAACAGACAATCTACATACTACTTTATTTTCTTTCCACCTTTATAGCTAGGTATTCACTAGAGTATGATTAGAATTCAAGGAAATCTTTAAAACAAATTTACTTACCAGGTCAACAGGCTTCTCATCTTTATTAAAAAAGTGAAGAGCGTTAAATGTCCAAGACTTTGGAATATAAACGTCTTCTGTACCAGCTCCAGAGCGCTTGGAGTCAATAATTTTTTTCAATTCCTTGCGATAATTTGATCGTAAAGAATTTATTTTTTTTTCGGACATCATCTACAGTGGCGTTATCATTATTCTTTTTTTTTTAATTAGTAATAATTTCTCATATCCGGCCGTTCTTTTTATTTTATTCGTGTAGCTTTTGGACGAAGGGTCCCACAATTCCGGCATATTTTCCAATTGTAAGATAAACTCCTTCAAATACCTTTGGTCATTCGTTAATCCCAACACCGCCGGCTGGATATGTGCGCTTTCGTCGTCCGACATTATTAAAAATTACCACTGCCAAATAAAGAATTAATCCAATAATTAACGTTTCCCTTTAACATTTAAATCTCCACTTTATTTTGAAATACAACACGTATTGACGTATCGCGAATGAAATATGAAATATTTATTGACATTATTGCGATCCGCGATCCAGATTTCAAAATTTCAAGAAATTTTGCGATATGGATCACTATCCATCAATATTGCATGCTACACAGTCAATAAATATCGCTATACTTGGATCACGTCAATAAATATTGATCGTGAGACATGGCCCATAAACTTGGCAAGACAGCACGAAAAGCAAGGCCGATGTTTTTCTTTAATGAGAAGCATCGAAATCTATATCGATATTTTTCGACGCATCGAAGGGCATACATCGAGGCATCGATTTGCATAGGATTTTTCAGATTATGCGTTACTACAAAATTTGTTATTAGCAAGATTGTACGAGTTTTGAAATAGATTGTTGCAATTGAGCTAATTATGTTTCTAACGGAACTTTTTTGAGCCATTCCAATTTTTTGCTCAAAGTCACTTCTCTTTTTTGTACAATTGGAAAACTCGAACCTGGTTCAATGGGAATTAAAAAAAAGGCGTGAGTACTAGGTACTCATGAAATTTGATGTGCAAACATATGTGAACGGCAAAGCATAAAAGTACGTTTACATATAAATATAATCTCAATCAAAGCTCGTTAGCTGTCAAATTGGTTGTGCTTGTTATTCACACACCTCGAGGAAAAGTTAAACTTCTTCTCTGTGCCACCGTGGTCACTTTTTTCTGCAACACATACTATGCCATTTAAATATATTTTAACTGAATATTTTATTAAGAACTACCTTTACAAACCTATTTTCCTTACTAGCGTAAATTTTTGTTTACTTTAACATTTGATAGGTTGGACACCAAAAAGTTATCGATTTAATCTGCAGCCGGATTCCAACATTTGCCGTCGCTAATTCTGATCGCTAAAAATCTCCAAAAGAATAGCAAATGCCCCTAACAACACACAACATATATTTGCATGCCCGCAACCTGCCAGATTTGGCCGATTATGCATCGCATGTGTTACTCTTTCATGTTGTATTCTTTTAGGCCCTGCTGCTTTTCAGTTAGAGAGTTTTAGCGACGAAAATTTAGCGTAGCGAATGTCAGAATTCCACTGCTGAGATATTTTTAAATATAATTTTGCATGGCTAATCTCTTTTTCTAATAACAGATTAGGGAGTTAAGCTCGAAAGTTAGGATAATCTTTTTATATGTAAAGCTATTATTAGGCGATTCAGTTACATACATACAAATGTAGGTTAGGTTAGAAATTATACATTAATTTCACTTAATTTTATTCATTTTGCTGATTTAATTTTTTTATTCATTTTCATTTTTAATTCTTTTAATACATGAAATTATCGGTATGATTGATAAAATATACTTGTATATACTTGTGACTCAGGGGCGTTAAAATATCTTGGAAACACTGATGGTTATTGTTTTTGAGCTTATAGTTTGAGCATTTCTATTTGTATATATTCCTAAATTTAGTTTTTCTTTTCGGAATATAATCTGTGGTTCATGTAAATGCAGTTCATGTTGCAGGATTTTACCCGATGCTTTTTTTTCCATACGTTTTGCTGTTACTCACTTTTTACTCTCACTTCAGAGAGTGATTTTGCTGTTTGACCTTCTTCCAGGTTTTACACGAAAAGTATTGGATCAGAGCTATTATATCATCCATACATATGCATATTATACATACATATATTCATGTATGTTCATCAGTTATCAACGGTCCCAGTTAAAATGATTTCAGTATTTTTTTAAATTTTCGCCCTGCTTTTTTATCAAAAGAGACTACTAAACCTATGCCTAAAACCATCTACGAATATCAAAACAACAATTGAGTCCATACATATTTATGTACATACATAGGTACAAAGCCGCATGCATGTGCGGAGTTTAAATAATCGGAAGTAATAATCAATTGCAGCGCATTTCCTCTTAGACTATGTTCGAACAGTCCAATTAGCTGAGGCAATTAAGCTTTAAATTGCGGAATTGAGTTTTGTGTTCACACATATGTCAGCTGCGCAAGTAGCGATATGAAATCAGATACTGGATTACCTACACTGATGGAAAAGTTGGTCAATCGTACCTTTATTTAGTTTGAAAGTGCATTCGGTACAAACACACAATTTTAGGTACATTTGGAACGTAGCCAAATAACTCTCAGGAAATCAGTTCTTATTTTTATTGACATTTCAATGCATTTTCTGTTGCGGGCAACTGGTCCAATACCTTCCCTCCTTTGTGAAGGGGCATACAAATGATACAAAAAGGTGGTCAAAGTAACGCAATTGTAGTTGATTTCGCCAGATAGACGGAAAATATTTATTTTTAAACGTCAGATCGGAGAACTGGGAGGAAATTAATTCACCTTTTCTACAACATAGTTTTGTCTCGCGCTGCTCGAAGAGATTCTTTTCATAGCCAAAATATGTTTAATGTGAGTACAGAAGTTGATGTGGTATCGATGGTAATTTTTATCCTTCTATCTTCTTTATACAGAAATACATATTTACTTTTTGGGTACATCTATCCACTTTTAGATAAACCTTTCCGTAAATTAGATACAATTTTATAATTAAATTTTCCATCCCTGATGGAATATCAGCTGTAAAAGAGGGACAGAAACAAACAGCTGATTGCTCTTTGTTCAATAAACATACCTCCAAGTCAAAATTAAACATACCAAGCAGGGTTGCATAGAGAATCTGAAACAAATTGATTGCCAATTAATAATTAGTTGGCAATTAATAAATTGAATTTCTGTATGATATCTTGGGTAACAATTATGTTGGTGAAAAGGTTCTTAATTGCCAATTAGGCCCCTAGTCTTAACTATGTATATGCCTAAATGTGTGCAGCCATTTGGCAAGCAAACACAGGGTGCTTCTAATGAAAATAAAAATTTTATGGTGAAATACACATGCTAAGCCCTTCGAAATTTGGTGCTGGGATATGCGTTACAGGTTCAAATTTTACCCCTACCGAAACCAAAGATGTATACACATCATGAACCAAAAAGACAAGATCACGCGGGCAGGAGAGTAGCCCGTTAGAATCGCATTAAGGAAAAAAGTTGAACGATTTTGACATTAGCCGTTTATTTACATTTATTCGTTGTTTACAATTTGGTGGTGGCTTTTTACTGCAATTTTCTTCATTTTCGCTTGTGACAACGTGTGTACACATAAGATAAAGAATAATTTAACACAACGGCATGGTTTTTAGAAGAATTTGCATAATAAAAATGATTTTTCATGCGTTCAACAATTTCGCGGTTTTCTCCGTTCTCTTCGTTGTTTACTTCTTACAGCAAAAATTGCGTCGAGATTTCGGCAGCTAGAAAATAACTTTTTTCGTTCTTTCCGTCCCGCGTGATCTTGGTTCTTTCGTTCATGTATACACATCAAAAACATCGATAAATCGACTATTTATACATCGAGGGGAAACTTTTCGATGCATCGAGCAAAACATCGATATTTTGGATGCATCGATGTTTTTCCGACATTTCTAGTGCTACGCCATTTTCAATGGTATTTATTTGAGGACGCTTCGGAAAATTTTCGTCGTCTTGAGGTATACAAATTGAAGCAAAATGTCGCAAAGGTTTGCTCCTGGCCAGCCAGGATCAGCTCCAGTGTCGGGCACACCACGATATCAGCCACCTCCGCCTCAAACAGCGGGTATGCGGCCCTATGCCGCTGGTGGCACTTTTCCGGTGAGTACTTGCGACTATTGATTAAGTTAGGATTAGTATATATTCATAGTTTTTATTTTTGCTGAAGCAACGTGGCTTTCCTCTCCATCAAAATGCTGCTCAATCTGGACAAAGTAATACAAGTTCTCCAGGTGGACCGCCCTTACATCAACGAACTTCACAACCTAGTTTTCAAAGTGGTCTAAGAGGAAGCGCCTCTGGTGGTGGAAGTAAAAGGTCAACTGAATCTCGTAATATTAGTAGCAACCAAAACAAAGGGGATTTTGGTGCGGCAAAGAAAAAGAAAAAACTCGCTGACAAAATATTACCCCAAAAAGTTCGAGATTTGGTGCCTGAGTCCCAAGCATATATGGATTTATTAACATTTGAAAGAAAATTGGATGCGACGATCATGCGGAAGCGTCTGGATATTCAAGAAGCATTGAAAAGGCCCATGAAGCAAAAAAGAAAACTTCGCATCTTTATTTCAAACACGTTTTATCCAAGTAAAGAGCCGACCAATGACGGAGATGAAGGTTCCGTAGCCTCCTGGGAGCTCCGCGTCGAAGGTCGTTTGTTGGAGGACGGGAAAGGAGATCCTACTACAAAAATAAAAAGAAAATTTTCTTCTTTTTTTAAGTCATTGGTTATTGAATTGGATAAAGAGTTGTATGGTCCTGACAACCACTTAGTTGAGTGGCATCGAACGCATACTACGCAAGAAACTGATGGATTTCAAGTAAAGCGTCCTGGTGATAGAAACGTTCGTTGCACAATACTACTATTGTTGGATTATCAACCATTGCAATTTAAATTAGATCCCCGACTAGCACGTCTACTTGGTGTTCATACTCAGACACGCCCAGTGATAATTTCCGCACTCTGGCAATATATAAAAACTCATAAACTACAAGATGCTCATGAACGTGAATATATAAATTGTGACAAGTATTTGGAGCAGATATTTGGGTGCCAGCGAATGAAGTTCGCGGAGATACCACAACGTCTCAACCCGCTACTTCACCCCCCAGATCCAATTGTCATCAACCATTTTATTGAAAGTGGTGCCGAAAATAAGCAAACTGCATGCTATGACATTGACGTTGAAGTTGACGACACGCTTAAAAACCAGATGAATAATTTTCTAATGAGTACAGCCAGTCAACAAGAAATTCAAGGTTTGGATACGAAAATACATGAAACTGTCGATACCATTAACCAGATGAAAACTAACCGCGAGTTCTTTTTGAGTTTTGCAAAAGATCCGCAAAAGTTTATTCATCGTTGGATTGTAAGCCAAACAAGAGATTTGAAAGTATGTATTATATCAGTTTGCTTCTTGGTATAAAATCTGTTAAAACTGTGATTTTATAGGCGATGACAGATGTGGTTGGAAATCCTGAGGAAGAGCGGCGAGCTGAATTCTATTACCAACCGTGGACTCATGAAGCAGTCTCACGTTACTTCTTTACAAAAGTAAATCAGAAGCGCGCTGAATTGGAACAAGCCTTGGGCATACGTAATGGCTAACTCTTCACAATATGCTCACACATGTCGCTTCTTAAACGTCAATTCAATAAATATTCACCCTCATTGCTAGAGTCGTATCAAATGCAAGACGTTTTTCGAGAGTCGAATCGTATCGAAAATTTCACGTCATTGCCTAAAATTTTCACTCGACTAGTGTATTAAAATGGGAAAACTTGGCAGCACTGTATATTTTTCGACGATTTTGGTCGTTTACTTATTTCAGTACGACAATAGACAATGCTACTGTTGTCGAGTCGTACAATTTGGCCTAATTTACGACTTACGCAATGAGGCTGATTACTTGCATGAAAATAAATCGAAATTTATCTATGAAAATAACAAAGGCCTCCGATTGTTTCCCCTTCATTCTCAAGACATACGGTTCTATGTACCGGAATGACTCGGATTATACCTGACCAAGGTTGTTTCGGCGATCTAGCCCCGTTTAGGTCTGCAAAATCCCTAAAAAGTTGTACGTCTATAGGGCTACATCTTCGCATACTTTGCTCAGGGCTGGCATTGAGGCAATCCCTGGACCAGAAACATATATACCTGCTGCGTATGCCAGAGATGACTACACCACAACTCTACCTCCGTTAGATGCAACACATGCAATGTTTGCTCAGGCCTTACGACTCATAGGCAGTGGACCGCCGCACACGTGGCCCTTTGTGGACAAATCGAGCTGCATACACGGCACAACAGGGTCCGCCTGAGCAACACAACACAAACACAACCGCACCACAACACAATACAATAGACAACATATCTGACACAACAGACCACACCACCGCCACCACTACAACAACACTTCTAGTTCCTCCGACAATCTGCACGGTGTGACAGTCCAGGATATTCCGTAATGTGACATCAGTCAAGTGGAACACTTGCCTCGGCTGGTGTCACTTTAGGGCATGCTCAAGACTGCGCACCACGCGAGATTGGACGATGGACTATGAGGACCCATGCTGTGCTGCTCGGTCGCAAAATCCAATTGCGACGCCGCCCACTATCACCACAGGGCAACCAGGGAAGATGGGGAGAGTGGTCCCACTGCTCAAACCGGGGAAACCAGCCAACAAAGGAGAGTCTTATCGCCCGATAACCCACTACTCCACCTGACTCCAGCGAAGCATCAGCATGGGCTCCGTAAAGTGCATAGTACAACAACAGCACTTAACGCCATAAACGCTCAGATAACTCGTGGCCTTTACCGAAATCGCCCCTGTGAGAGAACTGTTCTAGTAGCGTTGGACCTGTCCAAGGCGTTCGACACTGTCAGTCATTCAACGCTGCTAGAAGATATAGAGGCCTCCTCTCTCCCACAGGGACACAAATGGTGGTCGGCGAATTACCTGAGTGGTCGACATTCGTCAGTAATTTTCAGAGACAAAACCAGCAAGCCACGTAAAGTTAAACAGGGGGTACCACAGGGTGGTGTCCTGTCCCCGCTACTGTTTAATTATTACATCTCTTAAGCTCCCTCAACCACCAGAGGGTGTCAATATTGTCTCTTATGCTGAAGATTGTTCGATCATGGCGTCTGGGAATGGAATTGATGACTTGTGCTCGGAAGCAAACGGTTATCTTGCCGAACTTTCCCGCTTCTTCACTGCAAGGAGCCTTGCTCTATCCCCTACGAAATCCTATGCGACCCTGTTCACAACCTGGACGAAGGAGTTCAGACTACCGCTGGGAATTCACGTCGATGACACACCAATTCCGACGGTGAATAATCCCAAAATACTCGGAGCAACATTCGACAGCCTGCTCTCCTTCTCTGCGCACTTAACCGCTATTGTCAATAAAGTACAGAGCCGCAACAAGGTCCTCAAGTCGCTAGCCGGCAGTACTTGGGGCAAAGACAAAGAAACGTTGCTGGCAACATACAAGGCAATAGGCCGGCCGGTTTTAAATTACGCTGCGCCAGTGTGGTCGCCGGAGGCTAGCAGGACGCAGTGGATGAAAGCTACAGACCTGCCAAAATACTCCACTACGAACAGCGACCGGATGCCTCCTGATACGCCCCAACACCACCAACATGACGATGGCCCAGTCAAGGAGCATAACATAATGCTCTGCAAGCAGTTCCTTGTGGGGAGCCATAGACGTTGCCATCCCAGCAAACAGCTGCTTGCAGAAGAGCAATCGCCAAGACACATCAGGAGCCATCTCTACGAACTGACGGACGAAGTCCAGAGGTTCATTAAACAACCTTTGAACCCGTCAGCCTACCGACAGGCCCTGAGCGGCATTCACAGGGAATCAGTCTCGAGTTATGTAGACTCCCGCCCTGTGAATGCCCTTCTGGGCACACAACCACCGGGCTAGGACGGGACAGAACTTTGTCTGCCTCGGGAGACCCGAACCACAATAGCCCAACTTCGCTCTGGCTATTGCAGCAGGCTTAACTCATACCTGAGCAGAATTAGTGGGGATGTGCCCAACCAATGCCCGGCATGTGGAGAGTTGCCACATGACTCGGTACCTCTTCAGATGCTCTGAGAACCCCCCCAGCTGACGCCCCTGTCTTTATGGACAGACCCTGTGGAAGTCGCACACTTCCTGGGCCTCCCCTTATCTGAAACAGACGACAACTTTGACGGATGAACCGACCCGAGCTGGGCTTGGTAACCGCTACAACAACAACAACAACCACAGGGCCACAGCTTCTGCAGCAGCAAGCACAGCATTTGGCGGCCCAGCAACACACCTCACACCCATGGTACAATAATAACAGTTATTGTCTTCCTAGAGAGTTTTGCTTCACTTCGAAATTCGTGCTCCCTTAAAGTGTGTTTGCATTGTTCAACTTTGCGTTCAACATTTGCGTTCAACTCAGCGCAGGGTTGCACGAAAAAAAGATGAATGGCTAAAAATATCAAAATATGAAAAAATATTAAAATATTCGCCATAAAAAGGTGTTTGCATTGTTCAACTTTGCATTCAACTTTTGGTTGAATGGCCTTTCAACTAATCGCTTTCAACAAAGTTGGTCGCCAGCCAACATTTAGCCATTCAACTTTTTTTTTGTGCAACCCTGCGTTGAGTTGAACGCAATTGTTGAACGCAAAGTTGAATAATGCAAACACTGCTTTATTTTCATTTTGACGCGGTTCAATGTTGATTCCATGATAAAAACATAACAAGGTAAAACCATTGAGAGGCAGTCTGACGTTTGCCAACAATATTTTAAAATCAGAACTCAAACTCACACACACATTCTCCTGTTCAATCTCAAACAACAACAATTGTGAACAATTTAATTTTTTTATTTTCAATTTTATATGATTTTAAAATGTTGGCAAACGTCAGAAAAAAATCATGGCCGACGAATTGAGAGAATGAATTTACCTTGTAATGTTTTTATCATGGTTGATTCTTTTACTTTTATCTTGCACTGCTTTTTTTCTTTCGCTCAATTTAATTTTTATAACTTTTCAAAACAAAAGAAAAAACGTTTTAAATTAAGTGAGCCATACAAAGTTTGAATTTATTTACAAGCAATTTTTTTTCGGCTTTTGCAAATTGAATAAGTTCTCTGTAAGATGGTTTGTTAAAAAAAAATACGTGAACATATACGGTATATGGGGTATGCAAAAAAGGGATATTTCCAGCAGTAAACGTTTTAGTGTGCGCAACAATGATATTTTTTAAATAAGGCAGATCGGAATATGCGCTCTCTGGGAAGACAATACCTGTAATTAGGTGCGTTCGTTTAAAATATCCAGTAAAAACCAACCAACAGCAAAATTCCGGCGAAATGTCACCAGTTCTCTCACAAGAGAAAAATATCCAAAACAGTGCGCGAACTGAAAATTTGCAGAAACTTGCAAGTTAGACGAACAGCTGATATAATTTTTGTTTACATTCAAAAGTGTAAAATTTAAAACGTACGAAAACTCATCACAAAGTCGTATCCTGACACATTTTATTGATTAAACAAATAACTACTTACTTCTTACAGGTTTAATTAGTCGCATTTTGTCATTTTTAACTTCCAAACCACCAAATTCAATTTTGTGATTTGCGTAAATTCAAACCAGCTGTTTTTGATCAGCTGTTTTCCTGTTGGCAACAATTTTTCCAGCAGAAACCAGCAGCTTCCCCTCAAAATGAAATGTCACTTTGCTCTCTCAATTCTCCCTACTTTGCAAGTTTTTCGCGTACGCGAACGCAAAAACCTGAAAGTTTTGGTTAAACATGAACAATTAACAGCTACGCGAACGCAACTATTATTGTACCATGACCAGAGTTGGGCACTACCACAAACAGAGGACGTATATTTATAGAGAAGGACCAAGAACGAATCAGCATGGAAACTGTCAAATACCAACAAAACTGGCGAAGCGCATTTTAAGAGCGGCAAGCCAGAGACAATCGAATTTTAACAGAGCCCAGCCAGAAGCAAAATAAATTTAACAGAAATTGGCTCATCAATGTAAATGGATTTTTTTCTCGTTAGACGACGAAAAGCTGATGGCTTTTGCGTTTTTGCTCTTAAAATTGGTTAATTACTTATGCATGCATAGAAGTCGAAATAATTATTAATTTATGTAATATGTACATATTGTGTACATCCATATGTATGCGAGAGATACAATTGTGTGAATCTAAAATGTGAAAGTTATGCAAATATGCAGTATGCAATTGGCAAATTCGCTGGTGATTTGGTGGTCGGCATTTGAGTTGAAAAAATCGACTTTTACTTTTTTACCGATTCATATGGTAGATGCTACGCTATTTTCAATGCAACAAACCACAGTTTTCTAGCTGCCTTAGTTTTTCCCCAAATTCACTTTAAAGACCGACACATTGACCAAAAAACGCAAATGCGCACTGTTTGGCGATTTGATGTCGGCATTAAAAGCGAAGAAAATCGGTTTTTATATTTTTAACGATTCTAATGTAGTTAATAGGTACGCTATTTTCAATGCAACAAACTGCAGTTTTCTAGCTGCGTTAATTTTCTCACAAATCCACTTCAAAGATGGATACATTGACAAAAAACGTACAAATGCATTGATTGCACGCACGTGTTAACTTCAAAGTTGTTTTTGTCGAAAAGTTATTTATATTGAGAAAAACTGTGCATTATCATTTTTCACTGCTATACTCGTATTATATGTAAATAATGGGGCATATGCATAGTTAAAATAAAGCCGACACTAAAGTTAGTTACAGCTTTTTCATATCACTTTCAGTGGACTAGGCATCTGTGAAAAAAAAGATGCAACTAACTTCTTATTTGGGACTGACAAACTTAAACTTAGAGTAGACTTTATTTCATGTACGAATA